GGTTTCCATGGCAAATGCTGTGTGCCGTTTCAAGGTTAACTGAATACATCTCAGGAAGACTACAATCCTGGATCCTTTAAGTTCCTTTTCTGCAGGAAAAGTGTGTGCCAACCTTATTAGCTTGAGTGAGCTTAGAGTTATGTAAGCATCTCCCAACTCTGACCATTTTAATTACTAAGACATGGAGACAGAACACACATATGCTGTGCTTCAGATTATGGTGGGATGGACAAGTCAGATACAAGCAAGCTCTATGAAGAAAGGAATGAATTGAACCTTGTATCTGTCTAAAGACAAGCACTGTTACATAATCCAGCCCCATGGTAAGCTAGCGTCCCACTAAAGGTGCAGCATGCCAAACCACTCAGATGGTCCCACTGCATATGGAGTTCCTACCAAAGATATCTGCCATCCCCTTTCCCTGTTAGATTCCTTTTTGATGCACACAGAATGGCTCTAAGTGGTTTCTCTAAAGCAGAACAGAGTTTGTAGGTCACTTGGAGTCCAAAATAGATCAGCTAGCAGTTTCTCTTGGCCTAGTGATCTAGATTCCAAATTTCAGAACCTAAGAAATTCTATCAAGGTTTAAACAAGGGAACCCTTTAGATAACCTGACATATATGGGATGGAGATATCTGTATCACCAAAAACTTTTTAGGCCTTCTCATTCCTTAGCATCTTCTCTTTAGCCCTTGGCAACTCTGAATATGAAAATAACCAAGGGCTAATTAAGACAAGAGGAAAAGCTCAGAGGATCTGAACCCAGGCAAATACATGCTGCTTTGGTCTTCGCAGCTCTATGTTTTCTTGTCTTGTTAAGCCAGTGGCAACCCAGTTGTATGGGACAAATTTGGAATGTAATGTAAGCAAGGTGCTTTACCCATAGAACAGGAAGAATTTAAGCAGTAACTCACATAAAAAACAAATTTAAATAGCAGTCTTACTTGCTTAGCCCAAGTTCAGGTTTAAGATTGCAGGATCCTACGGGCAGGTCACAGAACTAGCTGCACAGAACACTTAAGTCAGGAAGTAACTACCACTGCTCTCACCCTATACTTAGAACTTTGCAAAGAAGAGTTAATTTAGGATTTTTAATGGTTAAGAATTTTTAACCCATCTTGGTGTGGAAGAACTATTCTATATACCCAAATACTTAATACAGGCATACTGCGATTCAGATACTGCCTTTTTTTCTTCTTTTTTTAAAACAAATTGAAGATTTCTGGCAACCCTGTTTCAAGTAAGTCTATCAAGTCATTTTTCCAATAGCATGTGCTAATTACCTGTCTGTGCCATATTTTGGTAATTCTCACAATATTTCACACTTTTTCATTGTTATATGTTATGATGATTTGTGATTAGTGAACTTTGATGTTATTATTGTAACTGTTTTGGGGCACCACGAACTGCACCCATTTAAGACAGTAAACTTAACAAATGTGTTTTGATTGCTCCACTCACCAGCCCCTCCATCTCTCTCCCTCTCCTCAGGCTTCCCTACTTTGAGACACAACAATATTGAAACTAGGCTAATTAGTAACTCTACAATGGCTTCTAAGTGTTCAGGTGAAAAGAAGAGTAGTCACACATCTCTCACTTTAAATCAAAAGCTAAAAATGATACAGCTTAGTGAGAAAGGCATGTCAAAGCTGAAAGAGGCCAAACGCTAGGTCTCCTGGGGCAAAGAGCCAAGCTGTGAATACAAAGTGCTACTCTGGTGAAAGCCAAAAAGCCTTATTACTGATATGGAGAAAGTTTTAATGGTCTGGATAGAAGATCAAACCAGCCACAAATTTCCGTTGAGCCAAAGCCTAATCCAGAGAAAGTCGCTAAATCTCCTTTCAGGGGCTAATAGCTGGTGACTTTAAGTTAAAGCCAATGCTCACTGGCCATTCCAAAAATCTTAGGGCCCTTAAGAATGATGCTAAATCTACCCTGCCTGTGCTCTGTAAATGAAACAAAGTCTGGATGACAGAACATCTGTTTACAGCATGGTTTACTGAATATTTTAAGCCTGCTGTTGCGACCTACTGCTCAGAAAAAAGACTTCAAAATATTACTGCTCATTGACAATGTACATGGTCACCCAGAAGTTATGATGGAGATATACAAGGAGATTAATGCTGTTTTCACGCCTGGTAACAAAATTTCTATTCTGTGACCCATGGATCAAGGGGTTATTTAGACTTCCAAATCTTATTATCTAAGAAATACTTTTTTTGTAAGGCTATAGCTGCCACAGATGGTGATTCCTCTGATGGATCTGGAAAAAGTAAATTGAAAACCTTCTGAAAAAGATTCACCATTCTAGGTGCCATTAAGAATAATCAGGATTCATGGGAGGTGGTGAAAACATCAACATTAACAGGAATTCAGAAGAAGTTTACTCCAACTCTCATGGATGACAATTTTGAGGGTTTCAAGCCTTCACTGAAGGAAGGAACTGTGGATGTGACAGAAATAAAAAGAGAACTAAAGTTAGAAGTGGAACCCAAACATGGGTCTGAATTGCTGTAATCTCATGATCAAACACGGATTAGGAGTTGCTTCTCATGGATGAGCAAAGAAAGTGGTTTCTTGAGAAGAAATCTGCTGAAGATGCTGTGAATGTTGAAATGACATGAAGAATTCAGAATATTACATAAACTTAGTTGATAAAGCAGCAGCAAGTTTTGACAGGACTGACTCCAATTTTGAAAGTTCTATTGTGGCTTAAATGCTATTAAACAGCGCTGCATAGGGATCTTTTGTGAACGGAACAGTCAATCTGTGGGGCAAACTTCATTGCTGTCTTAAGAAACTGCTGTAGTCACCCCAACCTTCAGCAACCACTACCCTGATTAGTCAGCAGCCATCAATAGCAAAACAAGACTATCCACCAGCAAAAAATATTATGATTCACTGAAGGCTCAGATGATTAAATTTTTTAGCAATAAAGCATTTTTTAATTTAAGGTATGTACATTGTTTTTTAGATAGAATCTTATTATACATGTGATAGACTACAGTATTGTGTGAATAAAACTTTTATATGCACTGGAAAACCAAAAAAACTCATGAGACTCACTTTATTGTGATACTTGCTTTATTGCAGCGGTTTGAAACTGAACCTGCAATATCTCCGTGGTATGCCTGTACCCCCTGAAAAAAAATATCTAATATGAAATACACAACTATGTGAATATTGAGATGACACATAGGGAACATCTTGATGCAGTTACCTTGCCACATATTTCAGTAGCAAACCAGTGCCAAACATACTTTTAGGCACTAAATGACTTAATATATTCCAAATCTACTCCTTGGGGGGCCACATACAGACAGTGATCACTGACATACTTATTTCTACAGTAACATTTAAAATGACTATGGAAGCAAAATTTCCCACAGTTCAAAGAAACAAGGGCAAATGCGTATTTAAAGTGTCTGTATCTGGTATAGGGAAGAAAGTATTGCACGGTGATATGATCTGGTTGTGTCCCCACCCAAATCCTATCTTGAATTGTAACTCCCACAATTCTCACATGTCATGGGAGGAACCCAGTGGGAGGTGACTGAATTATGGGGGTGGGTCTTTCCTGTGCTATTCTTGTGATAGTGAATGAGTCTCACGAGATCTGATGGTTTTAAAAATGGGAGTTTTGCTGCACAAGCTCTTTTTCCCTGCCACCATCTATGTAAGACATGACTCGCTCTTCCTCGACTTTCACCTTCTGCCGTGATTGTGAGGCCTCCCCAGCCATGTGGAACTTTTAAGTCTAATAAACCTCTTTTTTTGTAAATTGCTTAGTCTTGGTTATCTCTTTATTGGCAGCATGAAAATGGACTAATACACACAGCTATGCAAAAGCTGCCTGTTAAGGCAGTATCAATATTATTAAACACTAAAAAATACTAGTTTCAAGGTTGGGAGTCTTAAAGCAGTCTAATTATATCTTCATTAGAATCTTCCTTAGAAACACTAATCAAAACACACTGTATCATGAAACAGATCAGTTAACTGAAATAAAGATAAGACCAGGAAGTCCTATAGATACCTGTTATAACCCTGATGCTCATCAAGTGCCCATTCTGCACAAGTTTTCGTGGAAAACTGGAGGAATTCTACAGTAAGAGCAATAAAAGTTTGGTACAGTAACTACTGTATAAGTCCACTTGATTAATTATCCATAATAATTTACGTTAAATTGGAAATCTGTATTTACATTAAAATATTAAATCCTCATGACTTAACAAAGGGATGATTAATACAGAACTTTTAAGGTTACAATGGAAACAGTCTTTCCATATTAAAGAGAAAAACCTCAAATAGCCCAATTATTCTAAATTTAGAAACTAGTAATCTTTTTCTTTAGGTAGCAATTATAAATATTAACTATACTTAAAAGTGCACATCTCACAAATGAATAGAAACAGGTTCCCTCAATTTTTTTTTTCCACATGACAATTATGATTTAGTGAAAGGATATAACATAGGAATTAGTGCCCAAACAAGCAACATTTTTAAAGAGCACCTAGTCTCAAGTCAATTTTTGTGATGTCAACTGCATTTCATTAAAACACATAGCAAAAGAAACCTTTTCTCTCTGATCTGGAAGAAGAAACAGACTCTACTTTTCTACTACTCCTCTACCCCAAATAAATCCTCCCTTCCTTAAGATAATGGATGTTTATGATTCAAGAGCCAAACATCTAATTTGATCATAGTTTAATAAGCAATTCCCACGGAATTAAAAATCATAAGTGATTAATATAACCAATAAGCATAATAACAAGGATATCTTACAGCTGTGTGACATTTTATTGTGTTTGTAAACTGCTTTTACATAAAATAGCTGCCTGTGCAATTTTTAGAGGGTCCAGCTATGATCAAATGTAGCTGGAATACTGCCACACAAGGTGTCTGGGGAATGAATCATGAGAGTTGTGTTTGTTTCTTAAAACAGGAAAAAAACAATCTATCTTCACTTTTTGAAGATGCATAAAAAATTAGTTTCTCACCTTCTGGTATTTCTGCCACCATTTATATGAACACTGGTCTTCCCTTGAGACAGGTTTTGAAGGAAATATCTGGCACTTATTGAGGGATTCTAACTGAACTGCAGACATGGTTGAAGGCAACACACATTCGGGAAGAATTTGCACTTTAGCTTGCTGGATTCTAAAATAAAGAGAACCAAGCATGGTATTCATTTCTAAAATCGACTAAAACTGTAAGTTTCTAAACAGTGATAATTTTAAATACTATGATTTTCCAAGTTTTATCTTTTAAACATTCATCAAATACTGATGTTTAGATACAGAAATTTTCAGAAAATAATTTTATTTCATAAATCATACCAAAGTTAAAACCAAAGATAGCCTAAGGTATGGATTTTCAATGTCACTGTGGAATGGAAAGGGAGATCTATACATTTCAGATAAATACAGAGTCTATAAATGAAACTACTGCTTGATACTTCTAATTTCTTAAACATTCTTTAGATACCCAAACTCTTCTATCCCCCCACTTCTTATGCTGCTTAACTCTTACATCTATCCTTTCCCATAAGTCATCTGAGTAGAGAAAGGAAGAGAAAAATCAAGAATGCATTTACATGGATGAATTAAAATAACACTAGGGAATTACATGCAATCTTTCTGTATGCATTCCTTTTCACATTCTTAAAAGTTTATCTGTACAGAGGATCAAACTATACATTAGATTCTTAAAAGTTATTTAAAATGTCATAATAAAGTCTTTTCCAAAATGCTACTTGAGAATATCATAATTGCAAATATCTGATGAACTAGTGCAAACAGGAAGGTTGTATGCATGAGCTATCTTCCTGTGAGGCGCTCTATCTCTCAGAGTGTAGCTTTTGAAATGTAGAATATGTAACTATATTCAAATGCTAGTATAAAACACTGTCAGACTGACAAAGTCAAATATATTAAAAGTCTCTGCTTTATTAGTTATACTTAAGACTTCTAAAGTAGTCTTTCATAATAACCCCTGTTTGACCACAAAATATTATGGATGAAATTCTGACATTTTACTTATTTATTAAAAGGAAAAATAGCTGGGTGTGTTAGAAAGTATCTAGGTTTAATTTAATGATAATAGTAGACTCACTCTACCAACTTTATTTCCTTCCTGCAAACTCATTAGAAATACTCAAAAAATTTGTCTACATGATTTGGGAAAATGTTAAAACATTTTACTATAGTCAAACTATAGTCAAGTGTTCTTATGTTACTAGAGCTCATTAGAAACAAAATCTCAATTTCCTTCACCTGATTCATGAACACAAATAACTTGTTATTTATATTATGAAGACAAAAGTATATACCATCCTATGGAAATTTTTAGAAATCTGATTCTTCTTTAAGGTTATAGGAAACTGAATTAAGAATTTTGCTTTACCAAACTATTGTATAAGATTTGATTATGATAAAAACAGTAACATTATTGATCCCGTGGCTTACAGATCATGTTAACAGTCTGCAGTACAAGCTGTTTGAATTGCCTTGAAGGATGAAAGAATGCTCTCCTTTACCTGGTTAAACACGGCCAGGATCCACTGCATACGCAGTGGCTAGTTCTCCCAGCAGCTGAGTTTTGTTTTTAACATAAGCTAGTTTTTTTTCTTTCCAACCTGTTTATCAGAGTTGTTTTGTGATTACAGCAACATAATTTATATAAATGTTATAAAAACCAGTGAAATATGAGTACAACAATAAAACTGCTTCAAGGAACATTAAGTTGAGACATAAAAAAAACTGCTTTCAACTTAGGTATATGCAACTTTAATAGGAAAAAAAAAACACAAATCTGGAAAATTTCTGCACTCAAATTGCCTTGGGACTATCTTTAGAATCCCTCTTTAAAGAAAAACTAGCAGTATAAACTGCGGATAATATACAATGAAAGTGCTAGAAAGTCTACAGTCATCTCCAATGTGCAGACCTGCTTCAATTAAAAGACGTTGGTCTCTCCAAATGAAAAATGAATGAATTTATACATTTTAAGTTAAAATAAAATGTTTAAGCTATATATGTGTAACATTTTGTGATTTCCAGCTTCAACTAACTTTCTGACTAACAATTACCGGTCTCAGTCATGACAGGTAAGAGATCTTCTCTTGTGATGCCAACAGGATATCAATCCCCTCCTCCTCTCTACATGCTAAGAAGTAGGAACTTCTGAAGGGTCCTATGTCAATGAGACCTGTGTTTTTACCAAAAAGAAATTTCTTTGTGTTCAGAAGATGCCCCTCCTGCCGCCCCGCCCCCCACGACTCTGGTTGCATACTTTTTTTTTGAGATGGAGTCTCACTCTGTTGGCCAGGCTGGAGTGCAGTGGTACAATCTCTGCTCACTCTAACTTCTGCCTCCCAGGTTCAAGTGATTCTCATGACTCAGCCTCCCGAGTAGCTGGAATTACAGCCACCATGCCCAGCTAATTTCTTTTATTTTTAGTAGTGATGGGGCTTCACCATGTTGGTCAGGCTAGTCTTGAACTCCTGGCCTTAAGTGATTCACATACCTTGGCCTTCCAGAGTGCTGAGATTACAGGTATGAGTCACCACACCTGGCCTCTGTAGTGTACTTTCAATAAATGAAGTGTCATTTAGGTAAAAGACAAATGGATATTTTTATTTTTTAATTTTTTTTTAGTTTTCTATATGCTTATTTCTCTAAAACAAATGAATATTAAATATTTTACTGGAGAAAGGGAAGGTGGCTTGAGTTTCAAATGTGCTATGAAGAAATCCTGGTATAAGGGAAGGAGTACCAGTTTGGAAGTCAGGGGACCTAGAACCAATCACGTCTGTCGCTTATTTGCTGTTTAGGCAAATTACTTAACCTCTCTAGTACTTGGCATTCTGATATAGAAAAAGAAGAGACTGCACTAAATCATCTCCAGAATTTCTTTCATTTCACCACTTCCAGTGAAGGTGGTTACAGGGCCAGAGAAGTAGTGCAGCCAAGAGAAATCTCATTCCACAGAGGCCTTTTAAATGAAGACAGACATACCCTTATGAGAGACCTTAATAATGGGTCTACAGAATACTAGAGAGAATGTGTCCTTTCCAAGTCTTATCCGTCTGTATCAGTTTGATAGTAATCTTTTTTTTTCCTTTGAGATGGAGTTTCCCTCTTGTTGCCCAGGCTGGAGTGCAGTGGCACGATCTTGGCTCACCGCAACCTCTGCCTCCCGGGTTCAAGCGATTCTCCTGCCTCAGCCTCCCAAGTAGCTGGGATTATAGGCATGTGCCACCATGCCCGGCTAACTTTGTATTTTTAGTAGAGATGGGGTTCCTCCATGTTGGTCAGGCTGATCTCGAACTCCTGAGCTCAGGTGATCGTCCTGCCTTGGCTTCCCAAAATGCTGGGATTACAGGCATGAGCCACTGCATGTGGCCTGATGTTAATCTTTACTAGAGTCAAGCATTCATTCCTTGTTTTCAGAGTTAACGATATACTGCCATCTTGTGTTCAATAGTTTTTCCACAATCAAAACTCACTAATGTCAAGACAGTCTGAGAAATATACATTTCCCCAAGTCAATTTTCCTTTATGGTTTCTAGAATAGTATTCACAATTGAAATTGTATGAAGTAAGAAGTACTTTAAAAATGGAACTGTTAGCAAAATCCACAGTAACAAAACAGTTTTCTAATTATCATAATGCAGACCACCCCCAGGAAATCATTCTTTCATTCATTTATATAACATTTATGGTCCTAAATGTAAAACATAAATAAGTCTTGGTCATTGTTCTTAAGCAGGTTATCTATCGAGGGAGACAGACATATAATCCCATCAGGACAGTGCAATGTGGTAAGGCTATCAAAGTGTGCACAATGAATGTTCTGAGGAAGTACCTGGAGAGAACTAAACACCCTAAGAGCTCTGGCAATCCCATCTCACATTCCTCTATGCTCTCTTTAGCTCCAAGGAGTTGTCTGACATGTCAACATTTCCATAATTCAAAAATATATAGGAATGCCCACCATGTGAACAAAACAGACAAAACGTTCCTGCCCTCATGCTGTTCACATTCTTTTTTCAGTCTTAATCCCTCACCCCACCAAATAAAAACCCCAAAATACTCAGAACTTCCATGTGTTCAGAAGATACTACCTGGGCAACACAGAGGTCTGATGAGATTTTCAACTCTGGGTATAAATTGGAAACCAATTCACTAGTACTTGTATTGTGCACCAGGACTGTGTATCTGTAAGACCTCAGAGGTGATGTGCCACAGTTAAGAAGCACTCCCTTAAGAGATAATATCCAATGATCAAGGCAAATGCTTTACTTTGTTTCCTTTTTAAAAGAGGATAAAATAAGATAAACTGGACTTTTCTGTGTCTGCTTTAATGTGCATCCCTTGAATTTGTGCAAAACCCAGCCATTCAAGCTATGTCAAAATGAGTAACTGCTGAAACAGTACACTCAGGGAATTTCTAAATGTCACAAGGCACATAGACTACAAGTATTTATTGATCACTTATTATGTAAATAGCATTTCTGGGTGATATAAAATTCACACTGGAGAAGGACACTAAATATAAATGGCTTTTATAGCTCAGATGGAGCAGTTGGCAGATGTAACCCGTGTGGCTTTCAAACATCATAGCAATGCTACAAAAACCACAGCTGTCCTGGTGAGCACACAAACAGCTCACAAGCCTGTGGTCTCCCTATCCTCTTATGCTCTGAGAGGCCTTCAATCCTAAAGAAGCCAAGTCCCAAACAGCACCTCCCTTTGGATTTACATTACTATTCTCAAACCTGGAGAGACATTAGAATCACCTGAAAATCATTTTTAAAAGATGCTGCAGCCTCATCACTCTCTGGAGATGGGAGATGAGGTTGAAACTCAAGCTTCTATAGTTTTAAAAGCTTCCCAGGTGATTCTGATGCATAGCAAGGTTGGAAACCACTGGGCTATACCTTAGAAGGGAAAGAGAACAACTAGTTAAAAGTTACAAAATCTGAAAGGTCAGTAGAATAAAAAAGTACAAGAAAACTATTTCATTATAAAACATTCACAGAGCATTAAGGTATATGTTATTTCTTACCCATCTGACTGTGTTCTTAGCTCAAGGACTTTGAACCTTTGTCTTCCAATTGCTTTCACTTTCACTATCTCAATTCCAAAATCCTGTTCTTCTCGATAGGCATATATCTCTGCTGTTGTTCCAAACTGTGCTTCCCTTTCCTGTATATTGCTTCCAAGACAATTTTAAAAGGAAAGAATTTTGAACATTTGAGTTTTAAATATATGCAAAGTATGCAAAAGCAATACATATGGGTAAACAATTTATAGACTCAACCCTTACTACAAAGCTAGTATAATTTTATTTATTTATTTGTTTGAGACACAGTGTGGCTGCGTTACCCAGACTAGAGTGCAGTGGCATGATCTCAGCTTGCTGCAACCTTCTGCCTCCCAGGTTCAAGTGATTCTCCTGCCCCAGCCGCCTGAGTAGCTGGGATTACAGGCACACACCACCACGCCTGGCTAATTTTTGTATTTTTAGTAGAGACGGGGTTTCATCATGTTTGTCAGGCTGGTCTCAAACTCCCAATGTCAGGTGATCCAGCCGCCGCGGCCTCCCAAAGTGCTCGGAGTACAGGCGTGAGCTACCGTGCCTGGCCAATTTTATTTATTTTTAAATCACATGGGGGATATAGAAGGAGGATTCAGGAAGTACGATTAGAGAACTTTAGGAAAAGAATAGATTTCTAGTCACTGAAAATAATTTAGAACTTACAGGGGTTTAAACTCATTTCCCAAACCAAACATTCTTTCACTCTGTCAAATGACTTATCATTTCTGCTGCTTACTGGCAGCACTGTACTGGGGTGGGAGCTTCCTGTATGTATTTCCTGCCTCTACTGCAGATTTCCTTTATTTGCCACGGGATACTTAACATTCAGCTTCAATTTAAAGGGTACAACCTATGAATTTTGAGAGACAAGGAAAGAAAAGACCACTCTTTTGGAAAAGTAATCCTTTAGGTTAAAATAAAAAAGCACTATTTCTCTTTAATAAAGACAGTTATTGAAACCAAGATTCCAGAAATGTTTTTCATCAAATATAAATGATTAAAAATTTTTCAAATACCAGAAAGTTAAATTGTGTATGAAGGTGTAGAGCTGAGTTGGATGGTAATTAAATGAACAAAAATACTCCAACTTGCACTATGAAACTTCTACTTAACCAAACTCCTAACCTCACATTCTTACCCAACCTCTCCTGTACATGCATAATAACAGCCTGCTTTGGCTTCAACAATGACCACCGCAATTACCCATGAGAGGAAATGTATTAAGCAAATGGACTCTAATATTTTACCTGTATGCAAGAACAGCAAAGGTTCTATCTTTCTGAATTAAATTCCGCACCATACTGACTTCTTGAGGGTGAAAAAGCTGAAGAGGCAATGTCTGTCCGGGAATCAGGATCATCATCACCTGTGGCAGAACTGGAATCACCTGACAGCTGTCGTCATCGTGCAAAGTCCTGCCATGAAATTCTTCCATATCAGCGCCTAGGTACTATTTAAGAACATATATAGGTACAGCGTCATGATCGATATGTAATAAAAATATAAGCTCAACAGACTAAAGAGCAAATCACATTAAAAGAAATACAGGCCAGGCACAGTGGCTCACACCTGCAATCCCAGGACTTTGGGAGGCCGAGATGGGCGGATCACCTGAGGTCAGGAGTTCAAGACCAACCTGGCCAACATGGTGAAACCCTGTCGCTACTAAAACTACAAAAATTAGTTGGGTGTGGTGGTGGACGCCTGTAATCCTAGCTACTCAGGAGGCTGAGGCAGGGGAATCACTTGAACCCAGGAGGTGGAGGCTGCAGTGAGCTGAGATTGTGCCACTGCAGTCACTCGAGCTTGGGTGACAGAGCAACGCTGTCTCAAAAAAAAAAAAAAATACGAATGGGGTTACAAACACTTAATAAATGTGGTATATAAGCATCTCATGTGAAAATATAATTTTTAATCTAACTTTAACTCTTAGAAGAATTTCTAATCTTTTATGAAGAATATCTCACAAACACAGAAATTCAAGAATTTTTTAATACAAAGTATTTTATTTTTACCAAGAAATATCTCTATGTCCAAATATCACAAACAGCAAGTAAAAAATGTATGTTCAGTAACACTCTAGTACCTAGAAGTACAGAGAAGTATTTAATAGCTCAATTACTAGAAAGACTATAAAGAGCAACAATTCTTCAAACAATTCCACCACAACATAGTATTAAGCTTCTTCAAAATTATAGTTAAATGTTTATCTACTGGCAAATAGCCCATGTCCTCATCCACAATTTCTGATATCTAGTAATACAAATATCAGTCACTTGTTTTTATGAACTTTTATCTACATTTAAATGTGTATCTATTATATTAGATCTATCACTAAATTACATACTGTATGTGATGTTGGCAGACTGGTGTCAAAATTTATGATGTTTGGTTTTTTGGCTTCTTTACTATCCTGGTCTTCAACTTCCATTTCATCTTCTTCCTCACTCTCTGCTGTAAGAGTAGAATATTGTAAGAAAAAAAAAATGAATGAAAACCTTTCAAACACATAATTCCTTCTTCAAAAAAGGGGTACTTCTAAAACCACATGCATTTGGTAAACTCTACAGTACTGTGAAGAGGTAGTCAGAGGGCTGGGGTCTATGCTGGGCTCTGTCAGTAGCTATTTTTTTTTTTTAAGTCAACTGTGAATTTTAGAATAGTTTAACATTTAGAGAAGTTGCAAAGATAATACAGAGTGCTCCTGTATGTCACACACCCTTTTCCCCTATAGTTAATTTATATCTGTATGGTACATTTGCCACAATGAAGGAATCAGTCTTGGTACATTACTATAACTAAACTTCACATTTTATTTGGATCCCCTTAGTTTTTATCTAATCTTTTTGTGTTCCAGGATCCCACATTACATTTAGTTATCATGTTTCCCTACCCTCCTCTGGGCTAGTGTGGTTTTCAGACTTTGCTTGTTTCTGAGTTTTGAGGAGTACTGGTCAGGTATTTTGAAAAGTATCCCTCAACTGGGTTTTGTTTGATGTAATTCCCACGATTAGACTGAGGATACGTGTTTCAGGGAAGAAAAAGTGAAGTACTGTTATTCTTTTGTTTTTTAGAAATGGGGTCTGTCGCCAATGTGCTGTTTTTATTACATATCAAGCCTACATATTATGAACTAGTCCTGCTATTAACCTTGATCAGCTGGCTAAAGCAGTATGTGTCAGGTTTTCCCACTATAAAGTTCCTTTCCCCCTCCTTTTCACATTATACTCTTTGGAAGCAAATCACTAGGTGTAGCCTCCACTTAAGCGGTGATGAGTTATGCTCCACTCCCTTGAAAGGGAAATACCTATATACGTTATTTAAAATTCTTCTATATGGGAGATTTTTCTCTTCTCCCTCACCAGAAACTAATTTTAACACCTTAGACAACTCATTCTGCCCAATTAAATTTTAGTTTCCTCATCTGCAAAATGATAGGCTTAAACACGTCAACCTCTAACGTTCTCTCAAACGCTCAACTTCAAAGAGTTCCTACATAAGTAAGAAAAGAAACCAAAGCAGGCAAGATCTGTTAATTAAAACAGAGAAAGATAATCTGGCAGGAAGAATTTCACAGCATTTTTCTAATGATAACATTTCCGTGGCTGCCACTACATTATTTTAAAGTGAAGGCCAGGTGTGGTGGCTCACACCTGTAATCCCAGCACTTTGGGAGGACGAGGCAGGCACTTGAGGTCAGGAGTTCAAGACCAGCCTGGCCAACATGTTGAAACCCCATCTCTACTAAAAACACAAAAATTAGCCGGGTGTGGTCGCAGGTGCCTGTAATCCCAGCTACTGGGGAGGCTGAGGCAGGAGAATTGCTGGAACCCAGGAGGCGGAGGTTGCAGTGAGCTGAGATTGTGCTACTGCACTCCAGCCTGGGTGACAGAGCAAGATTCCATCTCAAAAGAAAAAAAGAAATTTTTGCAATCATTTTCATAGTATTTTGCTTAGTAATTTTAAATTTAAAAATAAAGTTGCGTGAAGCACAAAACATTTTAGAAGAACGTCTTAGAAAACTAGATGTTACCAATGACAGCAAAGAAAATTAGAAAATGCTACACAATACAAATGCTATTATACTGTGAGTCTGTCCGTTTCATACAAACTATGAGTAAATTTCCTATCCTAGACCAGTGATTCTCAACCATAGGTGATTTTGCCCCTCAGGGGATACTGGTTGTAATAACTAAGGGAGTCTGACTGGCATCTAGTGGGTAGAGGCCAAGGATGCAGCTAAATAGCCTACAGTGCAAAATCCCACCCAAAGAATTCTCCAGCCCAAAAGTCAAGTGCTGAGGTTGGGAAACCCTGGCCTAGACTAACAATAAAGAATTACTGAATCTCATTTCTCACCTCCCAGTTCCTGTATTTTTAAATGCCCCAAAATAAACTTCTAAATCAATAAAATGTCAGTACGAAATAATCATTTTTTTCCTTTACATATCATTATTTAAGTCAAACCACCTGTAGCCAGGTCCCTGACAGAAAATAAAAATGTTTTTCAATATGGTAACTGCCTTGGACCTTCTATTCATTGTTACAATTTCCCAGATACAAAACTTTGTCAAAAACAGAATTACTTCAACTTATATGTAAATAGTCAATGGTCTAACACTTCATACAAATTTTCCTTGGAACATGTAAGTTTCACCAAAAGATAAAAAAGGGCAATCTAAATGGATGAGAAAAATATTCTGCATCAAATTCTTTGTATTTCCAACGCTGACAGCATGGCTATCACTTGGCATGCAGCACGATCCACTTTATTGCTCTACTACAGAAAGTTTAAAAGATAAACTATTAGCTCAAAGGCTGGAATTAATATTGTTAAAAATTTACATTTTAACTCTTCTGACTCCTAGTCTCTAAATAATTTCTTTAGTAACTTTTTTCTCATAAATATGGCTAAAATCCACTTTCCCATACTCAGTTATGTTTATTGTTTCATTTGCCTAGGATAAATTCTTCACATCTCAACTATAAAGCTTTTTGTTGCAACTTAGAGGACTTATTCTTCAGAACAACTTGTACTACATGAAATTATGGAAAGTCCAATGTTTTTCTACAAATAAAATTTACATAATTTGGAAAGACATTATTGCTATATCTACATCATCTCTGGGCCCTCTCCCGATGTTTTTCTGAAACACACACACACAAAACACGCTGACTGTTCAGAGCTATCACAGTGAAGTCTGATGACTCATCTCATGCAGAAGCACCATGTGAATGCCGACAGAACATCAGTATCCTTCCTCTTCTATTTACCATTCTCCCTGAAACACCGGATTTGGCACAGAGAGTAGGGCTAATGTCTCTGAAAAAACAGCTCAGCTTTCCATCAAAGGCTGGCACACTTACCCTTGTGTCAATTCAGCTAGGATGGCTTCAAGAACAACCACTGACTATGGTTTTTATAGAAAAGTTCTCTCCTATATGGTGGGCGTGCACTCAGTCTCTTCCATGCTGCTACTAGTGGACAAATTAATCTTCCAAGCATAGATTTCCTTAGGCAATTACCTGAAACCGAAAACTGTTTCTTGGCAATCCACGGGAAAAACCCCAAACACACTGGCAAGAGATGCCAGTTTCCCAGCAACTTAAACGCAATCTACCTCCTAGGCCTTATGTTCCACAACCATATCCTAAATATGTGCTTTTGGATGTCTCCTGATCTACCTTGAAAGGCTTTTTCCCAGCTCCTCTGACCCTTGAACAACTTCTGCCTCTGAAGAACCACAATAGCATTCATTTATCTGGCCCAAAATCAACTGCCTCTGCAGTTGATTTATGTTTAGTTATATTCTCAGCAGCCCCGCCTAGACAGTAAACCTCAAGTATCTGATTGTGTATTATCTCTTGTTTCATCTCCACAACACCTAACATACTTGATTAACGAAGGGACTCAGTTAATAGTCTCAAGTTTGGATGACACGCCTTTTGGAAAGCATCTCTTGAAAGGCATTGCATGAGAAGTTTATACAATATTCCATGCCTTTTTTTTTCTGTTCAGTATTTCAACACAAGGCCAAAGTCTAAACATTTCACACAACATACAGGAAAAAAAAAAACTAAGTATCTCTGATAAAGCATAATCGTACATGCCTGAGAAAAACAGACCAACAGTAAGAAAAACCAAACAGAGAAGGGATTTAGAGATATAATGACAGACACACCCGGGATGGAATCCTAACTCTGCTGTGTGACCTTGCGCAAGTCACTGAACTAATCTGCAATCCAATACTCGCTGATCAAATCGGAAACTGAAAAGTGATGTGGAAAGGATTAAAAGGCGAAATGCAGGCAAAGCGTTAAGTGCAAGGCTCGTAACACGGTTAGTGCTTAGTACATGTTAGCTGTCACTCTTATTAAAAGGAAGGAAACCAGCAAAAGTAACAGCTGTGAATCTGACCCGGCCCTCTAGTTCCAGAGCATTTCCTAGGAGCTACACTCAGGACACAGGGAGGATGGAGAGGATGAGTTTCCTGTTCTTAAGAGCAAACGTCCCCCGACACCCTGGCTCACGGCTCGGGGCAACAGAGCAGCGAAGAAGGTGCCGCGACTCCATCGCTGGCCAAGGGCCGACGTGAAGCAGCCTCCTGGTGCGGCCCTGCTGGGCTGGCTGGCCAGTCTCGGCGCCCCCACACCCGCCTCCCAGGCCCAGCTGCACCGTTAGCGGCTCCGGGCCTCGCCGCACTCCCGACTACAGGGAACTACTCCGGGCGGTTACCAGGCAAGAGCGGCAGGTGATTGCCCATGTTGTGCGCAGCGTCCTGCTGATCTCCTTCGCCGGCCATGTCTGTTTACCCGCAAAGGAGGCTGGGACAGGGCGGTGCCGGAGACTCCGGGGGAGGGTCCGCGTCTCGCCGCTGCCGCGCACCGGGGCCACAGCGCCCCCTGGCAGCCCCAGAGGAGCAGACGGCGGCGCGTACCCAGGCCTGGGAGTGATGCCCTAGGCGGAAGGGACAATTACAGGCCTGCGCTCCGCACCAGGGACAGAACGCCGTCCCCCGCCATCCAGGGCTGAGTGCCCGGCGTACACGCTGCAGAGTCCTCACCTTGTTCCAGCCTTTAGCATGACTTATTTAATCGTACTATTTTGCATATGGAGAAACTGAGGCTGAGAGCCTTTAGTTTCCACCTTGTTTTTAAACGAAGAGGGTAGGGAGTAAATAGAAACCTGTTCATGCAGCAATAGTTTCAATTCTTAAAATATGAAGCATATATAAAATAAGCATATATGTGAAGGCTGGGGAAATCCATCAGTTCTTCCGAGGGTGGTTAAATTATTGCTGATTTTCTTCAGTAGTTTCAATATATGTACATGTAACTTCAATAACTTCAGTAGTTTCCATATATGTACATTACATTACAAAATTAACAAGTATTAATCAGAAACGTACTTGAAATGATGATTGCACAGAATGGAAAACGCCTATAATTGGTAAATAAAACTGTCTAAATACAAACTAACCTACTCATTATGACTTCAGCTATGTAAAAACAAGTCACTGTGGCAAAAAAGAAATAAAGACTATGTAAAAAATGAAGATAATTCTGTTATAACGGTGAAGTTGTGACTGGCAAGATATTTGTTTTGGAGGGTGGACAAAAGTTTTCGTAGTGTACTTTCAATATCATTTTTTCGGCAAGGAAGGAAAACTGAAAAATCCTTAAATGAGATACAACAGCTGAACATGGTAGAGGTGGTGGTGTGTGGAGGCTGAGAGGCAGCAGCAGCATTGCTCAACATAAAAGTCATGGATTTGAGATTTGAAAAAATGATTTCAGAAAATTTGCCTCCCTGATAAGTTACAAGCGGAAAACTCCCTTGTGACAGAGGTTTGTGAATCATTCCTGTGTCATTTTGCCTCCTGTCTCCAAATCAGTCTGTGGTCTTGGTCAAATCACTTATGGCCTCAGGCCTCAATTCACCCGTTTGCAAAATAAGAATAAACCAAATAGTGTCTCCTATTTGTTCCAGTTAATAATGTCTGCAATATACGATTAGGTTAATAACAATTACATATACTACATAATGAGTTAACAGAGTTAAGGTGATCACTCCAGTCAATTGAAGGATGATTATATGCCACAATACCAGAACAGAACGATAAGGGAATGGCCGGTGTATGGGTGTGCGTGTGTGTGCACACGTGAAAGAGAGAATGCAGGCAAGCAGGGAGCATGCACTAAGTAATATGTGTGTGTGTGTGATGCTGTAGCATTATCAGTCTCATTATAGTTTGTAGAATTTCAATAACCTGTGCTTACCTGCAGCAGAATTGTCTTTATGCAAGCATCTGGCTTCTAAACAAGTAAGCTCTGACTTTCCAGTCGTTCTTCCCAGAGGTGATATCAGAATTGTCTGAACCCTGGGTCAATCAAGAATTCTCTGGACAAGAAAGCACAGCAGTAAGCCTGGTGGAGTCCACAGATGTGGCTGGAGAAGCACTGTTTTTCTTTCGTCTTTTGTGCATTGCTGCAGATCACCAGAGCTCACATCTGCGTATCTTTTACTCCCCCATTCTCCTCCTTTTCTCCCCTCTCTTCACATTCACCATCTGCTCCCTCCTTCATTTTATCCCTCCAGAGTCTACCCAGTCATCCATAGCTACACCTTTCAATACGGATAACAACAGATGATCATTGAACAAAAATATCTAAGCAAGCAGGTTTCTTGGATTAAGCACTGGTCATTAAAACCAAAAGAAAAACATGATCATTTACCATTTATGTTTAATTTGGTAACTTTATCCTGAAAGAAGATATCATACTGAGTTGTTCCTCACATTTCCTCTTGCTTGCATGAAGTATCAATGGATAAGGAACTCTGCAAACCAGAGGGAAAAGAAATATATAGGTTCATAAATCACTGTCTTACAGCTCAAGAATTAACTTTAATAGTGCAGAATTAAGGGTGGTAGAAGATGGGAGAAAATGTAAATGAAAGAGACTATTGTTCTTTCAATTTCTGGCTTCTACGCAATATTAGCAGCAAGGGATATGTATACTGGGAGAAGACATTTCTGTCTCCCCACCCCCCTGTTTTTTTTGTATTTTTTTTTTTCTCTCTCTCTCCCCCCCATATAGATAGATGGATAGAGAGATAGATAGATAATTTTTTTTTTTTCTCGCAACAGGGTCTTGCTCTGTCCCAGGCTGTAGTGCAGTAGTGCAATCTTGGCTCACTGCACCTGCCACCTCCTGGGCTCAAGTGATCTTCCCGCCTCAGCCTCCAGAGTAGCTGGGACCGTAGGCACCAGCCACCACAGTCAGCTAATTTTTGTATTTTTTGTAGAGATGGGGTTTTGTCATGTTGCCCAGGCTGATCTTGAACTCCTAAGCTTAAGTAATCTGCCCACCTCCACCTCCCAAAGTGCTGGGATTAAGGGATTAAGGCATGAGCCACCATGCCCAGCCTCTACATATTTTTTAATGTGTTAAAGAATGCTACTACTCTTGTCTAAGCAGTTGATTATCTCTTGCCTGGAGTATGGCAATAGCATCAATCCCGGTTTCTCGGCTTCTACCCTTAGTTCTTACAGTGCTTTCTCAACAAAGTCTGAGCGATCCTGTTAAAGCACAAGTCAGATTATGTGACTCCCCACTCAGTACCCTTCCTTGGCTCCCCATCTCCCTTGCAGTGGCCCTTATAGTGCACAGTGGGCCCCCTGTATCCTTCCCTGATGTCACTTCACTACTGCTCTGTGGGCTTTCCCTCCCCTCCATCAACACTGACCTTCTTCTTCCACAACCACATGGACCCATGGCCACCTCAGGGCATTTGCAATTGCCTTTTCCTTTGGCTGGAATGCTCTCCTCCTGCATAGATGCATGACTTTCTCCCTTGTAACTTCCACATCTTGGGTCAAATACCCCTTCCTTGGGGAGTCCTTCCTACACTACCCAGTGTCAGATTGTGACCCTCTTCCCCGACTTCCCACCATTTTCTACCCTTCTTCTCTGCTTCATTTGCCTTCATCTAAGCATTTCTCAACTTTTAAAATACTATGAGACCTGGATAAGATAGTGAGACCCTGTTTCCAAAATAATAATAATATAATAATAAAATACTATGAGGCTTACTTTTAAAAACAGTCTCACTTCTCCCCACTCAAAAGTATAAAGTCTGGATGGGGGATTTCTGCTCCCAAGAACAGGTTCTGGCATTTAAAAGCTGCTCAAAAAATGTTCATTAAATGAAAGATAAATTGCACAGTTCTGGCAGACACCGATTTCCTACTGACTCAACAGCAATTCCTCTTTCCTTCCTTGTCAAGAACTCTAATTTTGTTTGGGGCAATAGAGTACTCTGCTATGGGGTCATGTTTTGCTGTAAGCCTATAATAATGAGCCCACTCTATTCCCCCAAGCTCCTCTATGGCTGATGATATCACCTGACCTGGTCCTGGCACCTAGAGAAAGTCAGCTTGGTAACCTCTAAGGATGATGAAGAGGGAAGACAACTTTAAGAAGAGATTTTCCTCCATGATGAAAGGCAAAGATGTCATTCCTCCCCACTTCCTGCTGGGATGAAGATTAAGACCCATATTGGTTTGATGGATAAAACCAGCCAACCTAGTCCAAAGATCCAAAATTGTTTTTAAAGGTAATTGTGGACTTTAGAAAAAGCAAAGCTAGATTAACTTGTAGGCGTATTTGGTTATCGTTTTTTGAATAGATGAATTCATTAACTTTGGAAGTGCATAAATCTTCCAATGCTTTCTCCCTTGGGGCAAAAGCACAGGTGAGACAAGCAGCCCCACGGACATGTTCCTCTCACAGTGCCACAGTTCCCTCGGCCACTCTGTGAGACGCAGGTCACAAACAGGTGACCTCTCAAGCTAGAGGCTTTCTTGCCCTGTGCGGTATTTTGAGTTTTTGAGTTATATGATTGCCAGCCAGCATTTGGCAATTGAAGAATACACATACCAATATTGATTTCCTGCTTCTCTTTAAAACTGGGAAGATTTGGCCACCATAAGTCAGATTCATGCATGGGAACAATTATCTCTGACTAAATAACAATGCCTGGTTTAGTTGGGGCAACCCCTGTTGGTCACAGAAGCCAACCAGCCAGTGTGTGTGTGTGTGTGTGTGTGTGTGTTACCTGCCTTGGTCTGGCCTGCATTTGTGTGTGCAACCACTTATATGAGTGTGTAGCAATTGATAGAGCAACCCTACATTGGGATTTGGCCAGGACAGCCTTGGTTTGTGTTTGGTGTATCAGCATAACTACCAGAGCAGCCCCACCCCTTGCCCTATTCCACTCTTCAAAGTGTGCCAGTTTGTACAATAAATTGTCCTACATATAGAGCAGTAGAGGTGCTTGCAGCACCGTGATGGGGCTATGTGGACATCGTTCTCTGCCTGGGGAATCCCATTCATATTCAGCCTCCCTTGACAAGGAAGGATCATAACTATGGATCTTTAAATCCTTTGTAGCTCTCTGATTCAGTCATAGAGAATCATGTTCATGAATTTTCTTAGAACTATGCTAGTTGTGCTGTCGCTAACTTAAAATAAAGAGTCTTTAGAGTTAAATCAGGGTAATTCTCAAGTTCCCAGTCCACAGAGGCTACAAACAGTTTCCTAAACTTGCCCCAGTGGAAAAACCTTTGAAACTTTTTGGCAACCTATATATCAGGAAAAATAGTAACGTATTCAGGAATGAATTTTTTTTTTTTTTTTAAGTCTACTTCTTACCATCAAGCGCAGGGGCTGGAAGTCATGGCTGTGGAATGTGTATGGCAGCATCTGATCCTGTAAATCCCAGAGTTATGAGGGAATGAAAGATAGATCTTGTCAGCTTTATGCAGACCTA